TAGCAGTTTAAGCTTCAGGAAGTCAGAGCATGACGTCCAAGTTTAGAAGTTTAAACTTCAGGAAGTCAGAGCATGACGTTCAAGTTTAGCAGTTTAAGCTTCAGGAAGTCAGAGCATGACGTCCAAGTTTAGAAGTTTAAGCTTCAGGAAGTCTGAGCATGACGTTCAAGTTTAGCAGTTTAAACTTCAGGAAGTCAGAGCATGACGTCCAAGTTTAATAGTTTAAAGATATGGTTAAAAGCAGAATAATCATCTAGGGGTCGTCAGCAAAAATAAAATATAAAACAATCTGAACAAAGTATCAATACTAATCACGATGCATAATAATTATGCATGGTTTCCATTCGTCACGATGCATAACCATTATGCATGGCTTCGACTTGTCACGATACATAATCATTATGCATGGCTTCGACTTGTCGCGATACATAACCATTATGCATGGCTTCGTCTTGTCACGATATATAACCATTATGCATGGCTTCGACTTGTCACAATACATAGCCATTATGCATAGCCTCTAATTGTCATGATACATAACCATTATGCATGGCTTCGTCTTGTCACGATACACAACTGTTATGCATTGTAAAAATGGTTCCACTCACAGTAACAAGACAGGTCCACATAATAACAGGAGAATCGACAAGATATCTAGAGTGAAGTACTTCTATGCTTCCTGACAAGTGAAGTACTTCTATGCTTCCTGACAAGTGAAGTTGTGATGAACGAAGAAAGACAATTACAATCAACAATCTTTATTTAAAGCAAACATATTTCAAAATGTTTACTTAATTCGTCAAAAATGGCAGTTGTGTTTACTGGATAATTAGTAATAACTCGGTGATTTTAAGTTCTAAACTGTATCTACTACTCTTCTGAGATTGTGTTCCAGACTGAATAAGTTGAGATCTTGCTCCAAGCTGTATAAGCCGGAATTTCGTTCCAGACTGTGTAAACTGAGATCTTGTTCCAGACTGAATAATGCTCACGTTAGTTACTTCAAGATAGACTTAGTCAGAGCAACTGGAACTACACACGTAATAAGTCATTCCCCAATGAAATACAAGAGAAGTTGTTACCTCCAGGTGTCACCTGACCATCAGGGGAAACGTACCTGTTCAACTTAAATACCATAGTTAACCTTACAAGTATTTTTACTATTAGAAAACAAAAGGTGTTACTCTATGTGGATGACATCGTACAATGGGCAGCTAAAGTGAAAGGAATTTAACGACTTTTATGACTAACGTGCAGTGAAAAAAGTATAAAATAAAAAGTTTTGAAAACTTCTATATCAATACATGAAGGAAGAAAACATATAGCATGCTTACTTTACGACATTGTCACGATACATAACAATTATGCATAGCACGAAGTCAACTGAAGTATTTTTAATTTTTCAAGAGAATTGTTCTAAACATACAATATATATATATATTTAAAGAAGGGAGCAAAATGGCTGATGTGTTAAGTTGCTTACTGAAATATCTAGTCAGAAAAGAGCATTTAGATATTCTAATGTGATGAGTTTTAGTTCTGATATTTGTATACCCATTACAAAAAGGAATGCACTGAGAAGATGGCTAATTTGTTATATTCCGAAGAGAACAAACCGGATGAGAATTCTTCAAACAGGAAATAACTAACTACTCAGTAATAACCAGAGCCCTACCCACGAATCAAGGCTTCTAGCTAGTAATGGACAAAAGGAATCAGATCCAGGAAATCAACCATCAAAGGTTTTCCTTCGTCATAAAGGAAGATATGTTAGAAAACCTGATGTTTTCACCTTGCCTAAAATACTACAAATGTATAGTATGCCACTTTGGTTTGTCAACGATAGTTTATCTATTTCGAAAGATTTTTTTTTCTAATATCAGTATTTTCATTATTACTTTGTCTCGATCTTTTATAAATTTATTTAACCTCGTTGTCCCCCGGTGGTTCAGCGGAAAGTTTGAAGACTTACCACGCTAAAAATTTGGTTTCGATACCCGTGATAGGCATAACACGTTTATCTTATTATGTACGTTTGCACTTATCAACAAACAAACACTATTGTAGTGTTACGCTACGGTTTTTTCGTAAGCAAGAACAAATATAACACGATGGAAAATTCTGGAAAAATACTGTCAGACATTGTTGTAATGCTACGCTAAGGTTTTCCCAAAAGCAAGAATAAATATAACACGATGGAAAATTCTGGAAAGAAACTGTCAGACTGAGAATTTTTGAAAAAACAACAACATACAAATTCTTAGTTTATAGTTAAGGGGAGAATATGTATTAATAATGGTTGTTTCTATTCCTTACAATAACTAAAATACCTTAGAACAGTAATGTTTGTTTAATATTTTAGTTTATTTTCAGTTCAAACGTTTGGACAACATTTCCTTATAAAACGCCTGGAGAGTGTATTTCTAAGTTGTTTGTTTCTGTTGCGAAGTGCCGCGACATTTTAAGATACACTTCAGGCTCCACCTAGTCCTTGAAAACCAATCCGTTGAAAGGAAGTAAAACTCGAGAGACATGCGTAAGTGTTAATAATGAACACGCGTTGGTCCTAGTGACGTATAATCACGGCAGGCGGCGAAACTCTCAATATAGAGTAATTACTTATTGATTAATTTTTATATTATCCTATTGGTACAGAGTGCTAATATTTTTTCACATATTACTGTTGTTAAGAGGCTGCGATTTCCTACGAGACTGCGAAATATATTCATGCTATATTAGCATTAATACCATCAAATATTTTTTCAAAAATCAGCATTTTTTTCTTCTTCTAATGTGTAACCTTTACTAGTCTTTACTACTACGAACTTTAGTCGGCAAAATCCGATACTGGTTCAGCCTGTAGTCCTAGACTAATACTAGAGCCATCAAAACTCACTGTACGAAATAAACGTTCATTGAAAATATATATTCGTTTGTTGATGGAAAATGACACGTTTTTACGTAAATGTCATATAAAACCTCGAGTGTTACATAAATTAGCGTATATGTTTTCTTTGTAATTAAGCACAAAGCTACTCAATGGGCTATCTGTGCTCTGCCCACCACGGGTATCGAAACCCGGATTCTAGCGTTGTAAGTCCGCAGACATACCGCTGTGCCACTGGGGGGGGGGCACCGTATATGGACTCAGCCCTTACTAAATTATTCAAAATATGGTTATTGTATTGTTCATTAAAAATATTATTTACCTTTACAAAAGACATACATGTTTTTCACTCAGTAAAACTGTTACTAGCAGTTTCACTAAATTTCAGAACTTTCTTTTTTGCGAATAGTCCTGAATAGCTTTAAAAAAATCATGAGTATCAATAATAGAAGTTACACTTTCTCCTTATTCTTATGGTGGCAGAGTCGAATGTAGTTTCCTTTATACAAGGATAAGTTTCAATGGGTTTATGAATCCGGGATTTTTTTTAAAATTATCTTTAGAGGTAAGTATTACTTGTGAAGAGCCGAGCGTGACTCAAAGGCTAGCGTATCAGACTATGGGGCTTTGAGTGCGTTATAAGGATGATGATGAAATCCCACTGTTCGGTATGACAAGAGTAGCCTAAAAGTTGGTGTTGACTAGCTGTTTTTACTCCAGTCTATTAGTACAATATTAGCGCTGATAGCCATTGAGTAGCTTTGCGTTAACGTTTTAAAACAAATAAGTAATTACTTGTCACTAATAGACGCAGCTAAACACACGAGACTAAACTTCCAAATATTCTAGGCGTTCGATGATGACTAGCTGCCTTCCCTCTAGTCTTACACTACTAAATTAGGGACGGCTAGCGCAGATAACCCTCGTGTAGCTTTGCGCAAATTCAAAACAAATAAACAAACAAACTTAGTGAACGCCGCCTAGTGAAGTTTTTAGTCAGTAATAACTGGGCAATACTAATGTCCACGTAAACAAAATAACAAAAAGAAAACGGACACGTGACGAAAAAAAAGCATAATAAGAGAAGAAAAGGTCACATGAACTCACCATTGTTATGTCACTGCTGAACTCCTGGGTACATTTCTCTCAATAATAAGAAAATTGAACTCATCAGCTTAAAACGAGAAATTTTCCTTAAACCTAAAAAATATAATAACGAAATGCGATTCAATAAAATTAATTACAAAGTGCTAATAATAAGTAATCCGGTGGATTTTTTTTCCTTCTTTTTTATGAAAGAAGTTGGTCGAAAGTTAATTTTTAACGAAATCTGGATATTTCAGCTTAGAAATTGCAATACGTTTTTGTTAAAATCTTCAGCAACTAATCATCCACCCCGAAAGATTCATCTCACTAATGAAAACTGAGGGCGTATTCATATAGTTACTCATCAGTAGGCATGTATAAATGAAAAAACACAAAAGACATTAGAATATTTAAAAAAATAAAATGCATTTGCAATGCACTAAAAACTATTGAGAAACAGCTGTTGAAATAAATTGAGTTAAGCAAATGTTTTACTTTTTATTCCTTTACCCTTAGCAATGACCATAGTAAATAACGGATGCAATATTCAAATAATAAATTAGACATTAAAATTTTAGTATATGTTAAACGGAAACTTAGTTCTAATAACACAAGTCACGCCCAACACAAATAATTGTATAAATATTGATTTAATTAGATACGTCATTACTATAAGTTAATGGTAGAATATTGTTATACGGTGAATTGAATCATAAAAAAAAAACAGCAGAGGAAAGTATATACATTAGGTAATGTCATTACGGTTGTTCGTTTCTTAAAAGAACCGGTGAGCAATTAAAATATAAATCTCCAAATTTAGAATATACTATACATCGAAGACCTTTACGTCACGATTAGTAACTCAGGTTATGCGATAATATCCAAAGTTACCAATCTTGCCATATATCATCACCCATTAGGTTATTGGATTAATATTAAACTACCTGTAAGTAGAGAGCTGTGGGTGACCGAAAACGTTGTCGAATTTAGTACTTTGTTATTACGATATTTGTTGTATCAGCATTATAAAATAAGTGCTTTGTAATGTAAATAGTTATTGATTGATTCTATATTCACGTGTTACGTGTTTGGTCAATTTTTTGCTTTCCTTTTAATCTATCGGTTCTAAATTAAACATGGGCAGCGCAAATAGTCTATGAGCAGCATTGAGCAAAATTCAACAACAACAACAACAAAAAAAAACACTTTCTGATTCGCAGTTTTATCCTCTTTTGGTTGGATTCTAACATATTTTTACGACATTTCTTTTTTATCGCTTTAACTTCAACAGGAACCCCATGTCACTGCCTCCACAGGTTCTCTATGGGTAAAGTACTTAGCAAAGGGCAAAAGTCTTTCACCAAAATCTCTACACAAACAGGCGATAGATGTCATTTTGTTTGAAGTTAAGCACAAAGCTACACAATGAGTTATCTGTGCTCTGCTCACCACGGGTATCGGAACCCGGTTTCTAGCGTTGTAAGTCCGCAGACATACCGCTGTGCCACTGGGGGAGCAGATGTCATTTTGAAAAGAAGATTTTTCTGCAAAACTGTGAACCGATGAGAACAATGTCGTATTGTTCGAATTCTCTTACACTTAACTATCGTTAAAAGTTGATTTTAATGCTTTGTTATTTTTTTTTCTTCTGGATATTATGATGATTAAAGCAGCCACTAATTTCTGTACGATTGACTCCCGATCTTAGGGTTAATAAGAGCGAGAAAGTGAAAATTGCCATAATGGGCGTAAGAACAATTTTATGAGTATATTCTATTAGATTAATTTGTCTTTAATCTATCTTACAACTGTATTTTCCAGTAAATTTCAATCAGCTATTCAATCCAGTTATTTTACATAATTATAATATAATTTTTCATAAACTCACTTTTTTAGAAACTGTTATTTTAATATACACTTATCATTTGTTTCAAATCCTAGAATTTTTTTTAATAATCTTAGTTTAATTAACCCTTAACGATAGTATTAGGTTTAATACCGTTGGGTATAAATGCAGTCTGTGACTCAAATTTTCTGAGTGGATAAATGTATCCTCTACTTGTTAATTTCAATTCTGGCATAAGATGCGTTTTAATGGTTTCAGTTATTGAAAAATGGTTGACTAACATCTTTTACACTTTAGCTCAAATGATAGAGCTCTCTTTGTATGTAAAAGAATCTGGTTCGAACCCGAAGATGCAAAAGTTGGAAGACCACAGAACTCGCAGAATGAACAATCACAGAAAAGTACTTGCGTTAATAAAAGTTGGAGTAATTATCGTTTATTTATACAGAGATCTGAAATCTGTCACATCCAAATGAAACTTAATTTTGATCCGGATCTTCAGGGTATGGTTGATTTAATAGTTCATCAAATATACTTAAATGTAGTAATTGTTATTGAGCTTTAATAAGAGCCCCCCTCCCCCCAAGTAGCACAGCGGTATGTCTGCGGACTTACAACGCTAGAATCTTGTAAATTATTTTAAATAAATACATTAATTTCTCTCTTTGAATGTTTAAAATTTACGGGTATTTTTATTTTATTTTTTTTGTAAATAATGTATATGAAACATTATTGTTCTGGCAAAACGAATTTCCAGAATCACAACTGCACACACTTTCACATTATTAACCTGTAATTTTGGTAACAAGTAACAGACTAGATAGGAGACATTAACTTTGTATGATGGCATGTGGCACAACGGGACCACGCCTTCAGTACTACGGTTTTGTAATCTTAATCATCTCATAAACAAAATAAAATTGATGACATTTGTGAAAAAATAACATATATAAAGCCGTATTTATTTTGAAATTCACAAAGAATTTCCTATCGACTATGGTTTAAGATTAAATGGCAGTAACACTATTTCATGTCTTTTAAATAGGAAGCTTTGAATAGAGTTTTCAATAAAATTGTGAAATAAATACAGACCTAGTTTTTACCATAAATAATTTGGGACCTGCATACGCTATAAGAGTGACGGTCAAATACAAATATTATGTCAGAAAAGAGTAGCAAAAGAGTTGGTGATGGGTGCTGTTGACTAGCTGCCTTCCATCTATTCTATCATTTCAAAATTAAAGGGGGCTGTGCACAGACGACTCTTTTGTAGCTTTACGCGAAATTCTGAAACAAAAGTTTTAGGGAAGATAAGCATGTAACAACTGATCATTTTACTGGGAAGGGAATAATCTAAACCATATAAAGCACTAATAATAATAAATTGACGTGACTGTATATAATGAAGTAGGCGGAGTACCAGAAAAGTTAGAAGTTAGTTCAAACCACAATTTACACTAATTTCCGTTACGATAGGTCGAGTTTCATATAAGCAAGTCTTCATGGATCAAGTTCAAATTTAAAAAAACAGTAAGTACGAGATTGGACAATTTCAAAGAATTTTCGCAGAGAAATCCCTAGATCACAAGTTAACAAAATTTCTCTATATTTTTCACTTTTCTCGCATACATTGTGATACTTTTCCAAACAATTTAATTAGATTTAGTATTCACGTTTATTTAACTGTTTAAAACAAAAGGAAATGGAAACTGGTTAAAACAAAACAACAATATTTAATAAAATTTAGTATCCGATTATATTTACTGTGGGGTTAAATAACTAAATCAAATCAAATTCGTGGAAGAAATCTGTGTTTATAAATCTTTCAAGCATCAAAGAAAAAAATATTTTGGGGCCTGAAAGACAATCCGTGGTGGTCAGAAACTTTTGCTTCTCTTCACCCTTACAAAAAAAAAAAAAAATCAAAAGTTGTAGCTACAACTTTTATTGCTATTCATAGTATAGTTGATATTTCTTTCCGTGCAATCATACAAGCGTTTTGTTTTCACTTGTTTTGTTTCTCGATTTAAAAAAAAGTATTGATTTTTACTGCATGCATTCATTTGTATGATAAAGGTGTTTGCATAAAGTTGTTGACATTAAGTGGTATATAGACAAGGCTGGATTTAGGTTTTTGCCGCCGTAGGCACCAAATTCCAGTTGCCGCCTTCTCTTCCCCACTTCGGGTGTCTAGGCTATTCTGTATGTCTATTAAAACGAACCATTAATGTATTAAGTGTAACAGCATAATTAGTTTGATGTCAAGTGTATTGACATACATTGATAATAAAGTCGTTTAATTCAATTTTGAATGTAACGCCGTAACAGATCTTGACATGCGCATGTTCACCTTCATCCCAACTCGCATGCAAAGGAATAGTCTAGCGGAGTGAACCTTTCTTCTTCATTTTCGTTTACCGATGGCTGTCTTTGTTTCTGGAAATTTGTCGCTTCTATAATTTTGCCGCCCTAGGCAGTTGCCTTGACGTAAATCCGGCCCTGTATATAGTGTACAAATGATGTTAACATGAGTAAACTTAGCGTTCTGGAACACTCGAAGTAAAAATGCTAATATTGTTCTAGATTCGATAAGAACATGTATATATAAGTTTATGAATGGGATGAGGGGGGAGGTTAGAGTTGGAAAGAAGAAGTTAGATGCCTTGTAAAATATGATGGTGTGAGAGCAAGTTGAAGAGCTCTTGTAAATTTAATCGGTTGATTATTCTTCAGATGCTGCCGTTGTTTAAGCCTGTAATGTGCAGTTGGTCTACTAAAATAGAATTACCTCCGAAGTTTTATGCTATATATTTCGTTAGCGAGTAGGCCTATATGTTGATCCATTACTATAATGAGTGGGAAGATGTATAATTTTGTGAATTGTTGTGCTGGCTTTACGTAATATTTACCCCTGTGCGTGTAAAATATTAAAGGTGGTTTAATAAACCATCAAGTTTTATTTCTCAACAAGTCAGCCAGTTTCTAAAAGTTCATTTTAAAGTTTCATCTATTACGATTGCGTCTTGCAGCTCGTACTCGTGAACGTATCCGGGACAACTAGAGACCGGACATTTAGACACCTAAAAAATGACGAAGTAGGACATTTAGACACTACTTGTTTATTATCAAATAAAACAATAATTACAATAAATTTTCTCCATTATATGATCTGTATATATCTAGGCCTACTACATTACCAGTTTAATTTACTCCATTATTTGACCTACATAGATCTAGGTTTATTATATTACCAGTTTAATTTACTTCA